GACCAGGAAATAAACCTGGTGTTTAGAGACTTTTACCAGCTGGGCACCGTGGCTCATGCCAATAATCCCAGTGCTTTGGGAGGCTGAGTTGAGAGGATTGCCTGAGCCCACGTGTTTGAGACCAGCCTGGGCAACTTGGCAAGACCCTCATCTCTCTAATAAATCAAGAAAAATTAGGTGGTCATGATGGTGCATGCCTGTGGTTCCAACTACTTGGAAGGTTCAGGTGGAAGGACTGCCTGAGCCCAGCAGGTCGAGGCTGCAGTGACTGTGAACGTACCCCTGCACCCCAGCCTGGGTGACAGTGAGACTCTGACTCAAAAAAAAAAATACTTTTACCAAGTGTGGCTGTGAAGACATTTTATGAGTTTACCTTTATAAAGAGGTATTTGAGGTCACCTAGTGGCTCTGAAGTATATAACTTTGGCGTAACTGTTCTGGAGCAGATGCTTCTGAGAGTGGCGGAGATGCTGTCTTAAGTCTGGATAGAGAATCCTAAAAGCTTGGCTGCTGTGGGGGTGGTTAATACCACTTGAAAGGGTCCCTTCTGTGGTGACTGGAGGCACTTGGTCTGGCCTGCTAGGTCTTTAAGAAGTATTCAGCCGGGCTCGGTGGCTCAGCCTGTAATCCCACACCTTTGGGAGTCTGAGGTGAGTGGATTGCCTGAGCCCGCGGGTTTGAGACCCGCCTGGGCAGCGAGACCTCATCTCTACAATAAATCAAAAAATCAGCTGGGCGTGGTAGCGCGTGCCTGTAATTCCGGCTACTCGGAAGGCTGAGGCGGAAGGATCGCCGGAGCCCAGCAGGTTGAGGCTGTGGTGGCCGGGAGCGGCCACTGCACTCCAGTCTGGGCGACAGAGTGAGAAAGTATTCAGTGTCCTGGTTGTAACTGAGTTTCTGGAGGCGGGCCTTCACAAGGGGCAGGGAGGTGCTGGTCAGCATAGTCTCCCAAAAGCTTTCTAGGTAGTTCTAGGTTTCAGAGATAATTTCCCAAGAGAGGAGGCACCCCAGGCTGTCTAAGGAGAGGCTTTCCTTATATCAGTTCAAAGGGACTGTAAAGGAGCTTTGGGAGTGGCTCTGAATCTTAGGTGTGCCAAAGGCAAAAGCTGTGGCCACCCCTGCTTGAACTCGATTGCTTGGTTAAATGTTGCTTGAGAGTGGAATGAGCTTTTCTCACTTTCCTGGAAGATTGGGAATGATAAACTACAGGCAGCTTCAGATAAGACTGAGGGCTTCCGAAACCTGCTGTATTATCTGGGAAGTAAAGGCCAAGCCATTATCACTTAGTAAGGAAATAGGCGAAAACATGGAATTAGATCATTTATGAGAACCCATGAAACCTCTGAAGCTTTCTCTGAGGTTGTAGGACATGCCTCTAGCCAGCCTGAAAAGGTATCAATGAACGTTAACAGATATGTATATTTTTTGTATCTGGGTATATGAGTAAAATCAAGCCTCTAGTCCCGGGATGTCCCCTGAGCTAATGGGTGGGGAGAGGAGGTGGCTTTAAATGTCCTTGGGGAGGCCAGGCTCAGTGACTCAGCCTGTAATCCCAGCACTTTGGGAGGCCGAGGCAAGTGGATTGCCTGAGTCCAAGGGTTCAAGACCCACCCAGGCAACTTGGAGAGACCTCATCTCTACAATAAGTCAAAAATTAGCCGGGTGTGGTAGTGCACACCTGTAGTTCCGGCTACTTGGAAGGCTGAGGTGGAAGGATTACCGGAGCCCAGCAGGTGGAGGCTGTGGTGGCCAGGAGGGTGCCACTGCACTCCAGTCTGGGAGACAGAGTGAGACTCCAACTCAAAAAATAAATAAATACCCTTGGGGGCTAATAGTATTACAGACAGGACAGGACTGTGTGATGGATTTTAGCTTAGAATTTTAATTGGAACAAATAATTTGAGGGCTTAAAGGCTTGTATAAATGCTTTCTTCCTACATGTAATGAGTTATGAAGGCACATGAGGATTTCATCCTCCGGCATCACTGATAGGACAAGTTTTCCCTGAAGGGTTAACCATGGCCCTTTTTCTATAGCCCTTTGCCACTGTAGATGCTATACTTCTTCCTCTGAATATTCAGGGATGACTGAGAATAGCCAGTGTCTTAGTGTGGCCAGATAGGGACCAAGGGCTGCATTTTTAGCTTCTCTATCGGCTTTGCCATTTCCTAGTGCTTCCAAGCTGTGTGTTCTCTGGTGTCCTTTACAGTGTATGACTGACACCAGGGCTGGAAGCTAGGCTGCTTTAATAAGCTGTAGCATTATGGAAGCATGTTTAATAGGTGTTCCCTTAGTAGTTAACAGTCCTCTTTCTTCCCAGATTGCCGCATGGGAATGTGGGATATGAAAGGTATACCTTGAATCTGTATATATGTATAGTCTCTTGACTCTGCCCAAAACAAGTGTCCGAGTTAAGGCAGAGATACTCGGAGGGAGAGGCACACTATGACCTCGGAGGTGGTAGTAATAGCATATCCTGCTTTTTTCCCTCCATTTAGAATGAAGCTGCTTCCATCTATGTACCATACATACTCCGGGCCTGAGAGAGGAACGTCTGTTAGGTCTGCTCTAGCTGCCCTAGATGTTTCTAAAGTCTCAGGGCAGGAGTGTTCTATAGGTCCTAGCAGGATAAGAAGAGTGGCTAAGTTTAGGGTGTTAGATTTCTGGATAGTAAGGTTAGGATGTCCCACCAGAAGAGTTTGATCTCTGGTAAGGAGAGAGCTAGTTATTTAAAATGTCTCTAACCTGGTGTGGGGAGTATGCCTCTATGTGTTGGTCATATGTAAGCTTGCTAGCCTCTTGTGCTAATGTGGCTGTGGCAACTAGCGCTCTGAAGCAGGGTGGCTATCCCTTTGCAGTATTATCTAGCTGTTTTGAAAGGAAAGCCACAGCCTTAAGATCTGGTTCATATTTTTGCCCCTCCCCTCTGTTGTATAGAGGAAAAAATTCTTTTGAAGGTTAGATAAAGCCAGTGCAGGAGCCTGTGTTAGAGCTTGTTTAGGAGTAGTGAACGGGGCAACCTTCTTGGGCCCCTCCTGCTCTGGGAGCTTTTCTGTCCTCTCAAGAGTAGTGTGTGGGCTGGGCACAGTGGCTCGGCCTGTAATCCCAGCACTTTGGGAGGCTGAGGCAAGAGGATTGCCTGAGCCCGGGGGTTCCAGACCAGCCTGAACAACTTGATGAGATCTCATCTCTACAATAAATCACATAAACTAGCTAGGCATGGTGGCATGTGTCTGTAGTTCTAGCAACTTGGAAGGCTGAGGTGGAAGCATCACCTAAGCCCAGCAGATCAAGGCTGTGGTGGCCGTGAGCATGCCACTGCCCTCCAGCCTGGGCAAGCGTGAAACTCCAACTCAGAAAAAAAGAGTAGTGAAAGGCCGGGGACAGTGGCTCATGCCTGTAATCCCAGCACTTTGGGAGGCTGAGGCAAGAGAATTGCCTAAGCCCAGGAATTTGAGACCAGAGAGAACCTGGGCAATTTGATGAGACCTCGTCACTACAATAAATTTAAAAATTAAGGCCGGGCGCGATGGCTCACACCTATAATCCCAGTACTTTGGGAGGCCTGAGCCCAGGGGTTCGAGAACAGCCCAGGCAACTTGGTGAGACCTCATGTCTACAATAAATCAAAAACTAAGCTGGACGTGGTAGCGCGCGCCTCTAGTTCCAGCTACTTGGAAGGCTGAGGTGGAAGGATTGCCTGAGTCCAGCAAGTCAAAGCTGCTGTGGCCATTAGCATGCCACTGCACCCCAGCCTGAGTGACAGAGTGAGACTCCAACTTAAAAAACAAAAAAAGAAAAAATTAGCTGGGCATGGTGGTAGGTGTCTCTGGCTCCAGCTACTTGAAAGGCTGAGGTGGGCCGGACTCAGTGGCTCAGCCTGTAATCCCAGCACTTTGGGAGGTTGAAGCGAGTGGTAGCCTGAGCCCGCGGGTTCGAGACCCGCCCAAGCAACTTGACAAGCAATCCTCTCTACAATAAATCAAAAATTAGCTGGGCACGGTAGCGCGCACCTGTAGTTCTGGCTACTTGGAAGGCTGAGGTGGGAAGACCGCCTGAGTCCAGCAGGTCGAGGCTGCGGTGGCCAGGAACGTGCCACTGCACTCCAGTCTGGATGACAGAGTGAGACTCCAACTCAAAAGAAAAAAAAAGAAAGGCTGAGGCGGAAGGATGCTTGAGCCCAGCAAGTCAAGGCTGTGGTAGCTAGCCATCAGTGACCCACTGCACTCCAGCCTAGGTGACAGAATAAGACGCCAACTCAAAAAAAAAACAAAAAGTAATGAAGGCAGTTTGTGCTGGAGAATGCCAATTTAGAGGCTCGTGCTCTGGTTCTTGAGTGACCTTGAGCAGAGGCTTCATTATGCATCCATAGTTAGTAATTCAAATTCTGAAATAACCCGAGAGTCCCCAAAATGCATGGAGCTCTTTTTTGGATTGAGGAAGTGATAAAGAAGCAATGAGTTGCTTCTCTGGGTGGTTATGGCTCTATGTCCCAGGCTAAACTGAAATCCCAAGTTAAATAAATTCTTGTAAATTTAACTGAGTTTTAAAAAGGGATACCAGATACCCTTTGTGACAAAGAAAAGGGTAGCCCTATCCTGCTGGGGGGAAGCGAGAGTTGGGCGGTACAACAGTTAGTCATCAACATACTGAATGAGGGTGCTGTCTGTAAACACAGATGGGAAAGATCAGAGGCTAATGCCTGGTCAAAGAAATGAGGGCTATCTGGAAAGCCCTGGGGGAGTACAGTTCAGGTAAGTTGTTGGGAATGAATAGTATCTGGGTCGGTCCAAGTGAAAGCAAAAATGTCAGACTCTGGTTGAGAGGGGAATGGTAAAAAAATGCGTCTTTCAGGTTCCAGTGAAATATTGTGTGCTCCGTGGTACTGTACTGAGAAGGGTGTATGGGTTAGGAAAGGTGGAGTGAAGGGAAACAACAGCCTCGTTAATGATTCGTAAGTTCTGGACCAGGAACTTGGTAATTAATGGCTTAAGAGTCAGTCAGGGTTCATAATCGATGGGATACTGGAGCTTGTTAGGGAAGGAAAGTGGGTCCTTAAGCTGGATGAAAATAGGTGTAATGTGTGAGGCTCCGCCAGGAGGGGACCTGCTCCTGGATGTAGGAAGGAATCCAAGGAAGCAGTAAGGCACATTTGTAGTGTCCTGAATGGGAGTAGGCTCGGGGGGGTGACCTGCAAAGCAAATAAGTGGGGGGGGGTCCTGGATAAAGAATGATGAGTTCCCAGCGTATACATAATATCACTTCCTAGCAAGGACAGAGAATAAAAGGAAATGACTAGAAATTAGTGATGAAACATTTGATTTTCCAGAAGGCACGAAGTAGTGATGTGGTCAGGGGTTGAACAAGAATGCCACCAACCCCCACTATGGAAACAAGAAGGAAGAGGAGGTCCTGGAAAGTCAATGAGCGCTGAGTAGGACATCCCCATGTCGATAATGAGCAAAACAGGCCTACCAGCCATAGAGACTTTCATTCTAGGTTCAGCTGGCTGAAATGTGCGCTCAGGAGAGCAGTCGGGGGCCACAACTGATCCAGAGTCAGTTAAGATCGTAAGTGACCTAGCAGGTCAGGTTCTGAGACAGTGTACAGCCACTGGGTGCTGGGCGAGTGCTGGTTTGAGCAGGTGGTGCTACCGTGTGTTACCAAGCAGGAGGCTGGGAGGTGCACCATTCTCCAGCTAGGAACACTATAGTCACTTCTCCAGTCCACAACCTGGCTGCTTTTGGGGAATGGGGTGGATAGAGACAGCTGAGTAGTCCCCAGCCAAATGTCTTGGCCGATGACATCTGATACAGTGCCCTGGCAGTAGTCATGTAGCCTGAGTATGTTCTGAACTTCTAGAGTTCACTTCTCTGCCACTTCTATTTCCAGCTTTAGTAAAAGCTGAAGCCAGAAGCTGGAAGATCTTTTTAGTTTCCTGGTCTTCCCCCCCCCCCCCCCCCCCCGCTTCTTTCCTCCTCCTGGATAGTAAAGGCTTTGAAAGTCAGGTCTAAAAGTTTTGACTAGAGGGTTTGTGGGCTGTTCTCCAGTTTTAGGAGTTTCCGTTTAGGGAATAAAATGCAGGGCTAAAATGGACTGGCCTTCCGGAGAATTAGGGTCTAAGTTAGTATAGCACTGTATTGTTTCCACAAGGCAGGCTAGGAAAGACGGATTCTCATAAGGACCCTGAACAATTTTTTACTATAGTTGACCTGCTTAACAATGGCTCGTTTCCTGACCTATATGAGACAGGACAGCATATGCGTGTCCTTTTCCCTATCTAGGGAATTAGGCTGATAATCCCAGTTAGAATCCTCTCTTGGGACTGCCACTATACCTGTAGTACACCGGCCAGGCTGAGTGGCTTAGTTTTTTTCTTTTTGGCAAATTCCCAGGCTTTAGTATAAATTTGGCTAAACTCCTCAGGGTTGTTAGTGGTATTTAAAATAACATGAATATCTCTCCAGGTAAGATCTTAGGAAAGAGAGACATTGAAATTCCCTAGTAAATTTAGTTGCTAACTTGGACTCAATGTGAGAGTGAGCTATCATGGAAGAGGACATGGACTCTAGCAATTCCCTTCACCCCTGCAACTTCACTAAGGGGAAACTGGTGAGCCACAGGGGGGGACCCGGAAGGGCCTGCCAGAGCAAGTGAGAGCAGGTGAGGGCTTAGGAGGTGGTGAAGGAGGGAGAGGAGGGAGAGGAGGGAGGTGGCTAGGGTCAGTCATTGCAGCCATCAGCACAGGTCCTATCTCCAATGGCAATGGTGAATATAGAGACAGAGGAGGGTGAGAAGGAAGAGTAGAAAGGGAAACTGACAGAGGGTAGGTTGGCAAAAGTAGGTTATGTGAGACAGAAGATAAATCAGAGGGATCTGGGTTTTCTGAGAGTAAAGTAGGCTAGAGGAGGAATACGGAGAAGCTGGCGACAGGTGGCATTCAAGTCCTGGCAACGAGCTAACTCAAAAAAAGCCTGAACATATGGGACCTCAGTCCATTTCTTGTGCTTTTGCATACATAGATTAAGTTGAGGGAGGGACTAGAGAACCTCCACGAGGCCAGACCTCTTGGTCGCCCAACTTATACTCTGGCCATGCCATGTACAATAAAGTATGAGATGCGTGAGGAGGATGTTTTCCTTTAGTGAGAGAGCCTTGAGGTTTTTGAGGGGACACACCAGTGGGGAGGCTTTCACCCCAACAGACTGAGAATTTCCCATAAGGAGTCCTAGAGGGATAGAGGGCTGGTCCTAAGAGCAATTCAGAGGGGGCCAGAAAAAGAGAAGCCGTCCACATCCTCAGTTGGTGTCCCAAAAGAGGATCGGTGGAATCAGCCTCGAGGTGTGGGTAACGCGTAGGCACGTGCGTCCCCTTAACTCCCTTGACCCACCAGAGCTGCTCCTATACAGGTGTCTGGAAGACTTGGTGTCAAGGTTTCCACAAGGGGAAGGGGGGCTAAAGCCCCAGGAAAAGGCTCCTAAACAGGGAGACAGCAGTCTTCTCATGCACAATTTCAGAACTTCTAGCGGGGCGGGGAAGTTGGGGGCGGCGCATAGACGCACCAAGGATGTAGATTTCTGCCAGATAAAGCTAAGGTGACTAGAGGTCCGTTTGATGTAGCTCGTAGCAGGTGATAAAGGTAAACAGCAAGGGGCAGAGTACAAAAGCCAAGCTCTTGCGTTGGTGGCAGAGTGGTGAGCAAAGCAGCCTTCCAAAAAAGCCAAGCTGCTCACCTCTCACCCTGTCAGGCGATGGCACGTCAAGACCTTACTTTGGAGAACCTCTTCTCTCTCCAGGGAGTAAGTAGGCTGGGTGACAAGGCTGTCAGCTGCCTTTAGAGATACAGCCCAGTTCACAAAGCAGCTCGGAGAACTTCGCTTCATCCCTCATGCAAAATGGCCCTAGCAGATTGCTGCCTTTCTTTGGAGCCTTTCTTTTTTTTTTTTTTGAGTTGGAGTCTCACTGTCACCCAGGCTGGAGTGCAGTGGCCACTCCCAGCCACCGCAGCCTCGACCTGCTGGG